TATTAATTAAAACCTGATTTCTGTATAATTAAACTTGATTGCTGATTTATGAAAATGAAAATTTAAAAACCTTTGTAGCTGTAATTTCCTCTTTTTTTTGGAGAAAATCTTTCAACATTTCTGGCCCATGTTTGATCCACGTTTTACAAAAATTCATTCTTTCAAAACTCATTTTCAATCACACATTCTTCAATAAAATAATATTTTCATCACATCCAAAACTTTTCCTTATTTTTTAACCACACGTTCTCTATCAATCTACTATTCCAAAATAATATAGCTCAAATACACCTAGTAAGTAATAACACGATATAATCACATTATATTGTTAACATTCTTTAAAACGAGGGTCAAATATTTAATCGCATTTTTACAGTATTAATTTTTTTTGTTTATTCAAAAATATAATAGATAAATACGTCTTTTTAGTCAATGAAAATTTTGGAAAGAAATCATCATGGGTGGATCCATGATGATTTCTTTCCAAAATTTTCATAGAGTAAAAAGACGCATTTATCTATTGTATTTTTGAATAAACAAAAAAATTAATACTGCAAAATTGAGATTAAATATTTGACCCTCGTTTTAAAGAACGTTAACAATATATGTGATAATATCGTGTTATTAGGTGTGTTTGAGCCATATTATTTTAGAAAAATATATTTTGGAATAATAGATTGGTAGAGAATGTGTGGTCAAAAGATAGAGTAATGCTACTTGCAATCGCTCACTGCAGCAGTCGCCCTATGTGCCACACACATGACATGTAGTTATTTGATACATTAATGTGGTAGTTTTTTTTATCACATTTAATGTATCAAATACACACTTGACATGTGTATGCCATATAGGGCGACTGTTGCAGTGAGCGACTGCAAGTAGCATTATTCTAAAAAATAAGAAAAAATTTTGGATGTGATAAAAAATATTATTTTATTTAAAAATATGTAGTTGAAAATGAGTTTTGAAAAAATGAATTTTTTGTTGAAAGATTTTCTCCATTAAAAAAAAAAAAAAAAAACTACCTAGTAAGTCCGTCCCGTCACGTCATCGAGTCTATCATCACCCCGATTCAGTAAAATTTTGAATCTCAAGAGCCCAAACTCCGTAGAAAATTTCAGAAACGGATCTCAACAATTTTTGACTACACAACGCTCTCGATCGGAACTATCGCCGCCACCACCGCACGCAAATAATCACCACCGTCACAATTCCGACTCCCGCGATCGACTGGATACTGAGGGGTCCGACCATCTGCGATGCCTTCCTCGTCAGTCCCGACTTGCCTTATAATCGTCCTTCGTATCCACCTCAGGTAAAACCAGTTTAGCTTTCCTTTATGTTTTAGCTATACTATTAAATTGAACAATGAAATGTGACCTAATTGAGTTGAGCGATCAAAATTGAACTTTTATGTTATCTGTCTTTTTCCGAATTTATTCACGGTAGACAGTTCTCTTTGCTGATTAAAAGATATGTTTAAAAAAATTTCGGATACTTTTTATAGTAATGCCATACTCTTCTTGTCATGGTTCCGGATGAGTTGCCAAAAGAATATTTTATTTGGCAAGAGACAGGTTCCAAGAAGCCTGCTTTAATTTCTTTTATGCCTGGATTGTTTCTCCTTAAAGGTTTAATTGAAAGATTATGTTTCACATTTACTGTAATTAACAGATTATGTACATTAGTTTTTTCAACCAAGTTCCGGTGAATTGCTTTTTGATTCTATAGTTTATTGATATAAGAGCTTACCATTTTGGATTCTTTTGTTTGTAATTTTTACCTATTTTTTATATTTATTGTGATTTAGGGGGATGAAGGTCTAACTTGAAGTTTGAAAAGTCTGAGAAAAGTGCAAAAGAATGAGTGAAATCGTGGAGGGAACTGATTGTCCTTCTACATCTTCAATAACGTCCTTGGAATCAAAAAAGACCAGTGGTAATGCTGGTTTCGATGCCAGTCAAATTGCAGAAGTGAAAGCATGGCTCATTTCCCAATTTGATGCAGCTGGGAAAGATCTACCTGATTTCGAGTACACCTCACGGAGCATTGCTCATATACACAAGATTGCTGCTCTCTCCCAAGCCAAAACCCAGGCTGCCACTATAGTTGCAAATGACTTTCGTCAAAAAGCCACAGAGTATCGCTCCCAAGGTCCTACTGTCTACTCTAATATTACACGTATCTAGATTATTGTCTTTCTCGTATGGTTTCATTTGCATTAAGTTATTTCTCATTCTCACGTTCGCGATTTGTTCTCATAAGCCAAAACTGATGTTTATCATAAACTCATTTGGATTTTATATTGGGGTGTTCACAATATTTTGTTATTAATAGCTGCGAGGATAAGAGAGATATTGGAGCATGTGGGGTTGGTGCAAGATAGTTTACCATCAAATGTGGTCTCATCTGCACAAGTTCTTGCCAATGTGGCAAATCTATTGAATATTAGAGATACCGAGCTAAGCAGGTGAGTTTTATCCTTGTATTTTAGACTGCAATTATTTATGTTTCTACTGGCTTACGGGAAAAAAAAATGTTCTAGTTTTCTTGTAGCAATGGCTGATTTGTCTCTGAGAAAAACTGCAGTAGAAGAAAAGAGGGCTAAAGTGCAAAAGGAGTCCAAAGAACTTCTTGATTATACTCGAAAGGCAATAGCAAGACTGACCTATTTGAAACGGTGAAATCTATGATTTCTCTTCTTCTATAAAGAGAATTTAGGTTCTCCATTATATCTAAGATATATTATGCCCCTATTTGGTACAAATTAAAATCTGATTTTAATCTCAAGTCAAAGTCAACAATTAATTTTAATCGCACATTTCACGGGACCCACAACTTTTCAACTACACATTCCATCAACTTTTATCAAAATATACTAAACATCTGATTTTAATCTACAACAAACAGGGGCTATATTTGTTGGGTGGATGCTAACTTCATGATTTGGCTTCCAAATTTCTGCTTGTCCTCTTAATTATTTATACTTTCTTGGCAGAGCACTTGCACAATTGGAAGATGATGTACCTCCTTGTGAAGCTCAAATGGAGCACTGGAAAACCAACTTGGCCATCATGGATTCAAAAGAAAGACAATATCTGCAACAGTACTCTAATTATAAGGTATCTTGTTGTGAGCTTCTTGTTGTCAACCATCAGAATTCTAATTTCTTCCATTTCGGTTTGATGTGTTAACTGGGAAGAGAAGTTTGTGAAAAATTCTTTGATGAGTAAAAGATTTGATAATATATTAGTTGGCACTTTAGTGCACAGATTATGTAATTGTTAATGTATTTTTAACAGTATCTAACTAAATACATCAAATAGATTTAGTTTTGCATACTGCATTGTTGTAATTCTTTTGTGCTCTGATTGTTATGACTGGTGGACACAGGCTATGCTCAATCGAGTCGGATACAGCCCTGAGATAAGTCACGGAGTTTTGGTAGAAATGGCAGAGCATAGGAAGGATCTGGAAAAGAAAACAAAACCGATTCTCGACACCCTTAGAAGCTACCAAGATTTGCCTCCTGTAGTGTCCTCTTCTTGCTAACAATCTGCCATTTTTTGCTCCTCCTCAGTTCTTGTCGAGAGAAAAACTGATTTTGGGTCTCAAATTTTACAGGATAAAGCTTTGGCTGCATTGGCAATTGAGGACAAGAAAAGGCACTATGCTGCTGCTGAGAAGTACCTTGAAGATGTTTTGCAATCTGCTCTTGAATCGAACAATTGATGTAGCGACACCTTCCGGTCTTCTGCTCTTCATTTTGTATAACTGGGCACGAGTTCTCATTCGAGATTAGCTCGTTGATTATCAAACCTGTGGAAACCGCTTGTTGCAAACGATGTTTGTCTGAATCTGTGTTTTTTTTTCTTTTAAATATTGTGTGAAGTATATCAGAACTATAAGCCAATATGTTACTTTATCATTCTAATTTCTAAATTAAATGTTTGTGTAAGCTTATTATTATGACCTATTCAAACACGAAATTGCTTATTATTATCAGTGAATTTCCTTGAACAAGCATATGATTAAATATCGTGAATGGTTAATTGATCAGAAACAATAATTTGCCACCCTTGTCATACTTTACTCTTTGATAACTTTGGTGTTGTAAATGAAGTCGTCTGGGCGAGGAATTTGAGCAAACTTCTTGAGGGCATGGTTTGTATCTTTAGATTCTTAGCATTCAAAATGTGAATTCGAATACTTATAACAATTGTATAGTATAATCATTATATTAACATTTGTAATAACACTACTTTGATAGATATGAAGTATACTCATAGAAACATTGATTAATGCAAGAGATAATTGTAGCAGCGGTTCAAAACCTTTCAATTTTTTGTAGACTTTACCCATATTTTTCATTTGTGCCAACTACAGTCTCAAACCTTTCATCTCGTTGCAGCAGATGGACAATGGCGGAGGCAGACAATATGAGTTAGGGGCACAATCAAACTTACAAAAATGTGTGAAAAAATTAAAGCATTCGATATCTTATTATAATTGTTCTTCACACGTTCTCATATTTTGATAACGTTTTATAACTACATTGTTTTCAATATTGTCAAACACATCCTTCTCAATATATGCAATCAAATTATCATTCAACCATTGATTTCTGATTCGATTGCGCAGACGATTTTTGACATAAGTCATCGCAGAAAGTGCTCTCTCAACTGTAGCAGTAGCCATGTGAAGAATTATGGCCAATGTCACAAGCTTGTAAAATAATAGATACACTTCATGTTTATTTTTCACAACCAATTTCTGTACAAGATCACTAAGACCCTGTAATTCTCCAAAATCTTCGTCAACGCGCATGTGAATATATGTATCAAGTTGATCATCAAGTTCTGAGATATCTACTACGTCAAAATCTGTCAGATAATACTCACATAATCGAATTACTTTGTTCTTTTCAAAAGTAGTAAATAAATTATTTGGAGACAAAAACACGACACAAAGGAGTAAGTCATTATTTACCTCAGAAAATCGATCATTCAGCTCTTGAAATTGCATATTAATGATGACATGAAGTATTTCCACACGAAAGTAATGCAAATTTGTTAGCGTATCACGCCGTGAACGACCTATAGTTATAAACATATAATCCATATTGGGCACATTGATCTTGTGTGCTTCACTGAATGAACAAACTATTTCAATAAAAGAATCTCATCCATCATCCCTCATGGTTTGGAGCTGTACTTTACATAATTTCACCAATCTTATGATATTGACAATATCTTGTTCTTTCATTTGTAATGCTTTCGACAATTCATTTGAAGTCCCCAAAATCTTTTTCATGAGATGTAGATTAAATGTAAATTCAAATTTTAACATCAACTCAAATGAAATACAAGCATCACCTCTTGTTCCGGTACTTGTAGTGTCAGTAGCTTAACAATTGTATAGTATAATCATTAGATTAACATTTGTAATAACACTACTTTGATAGATATGAAGTATACTCAGACAAACATTGATTAATACAAGAGATAATTGTAGCAGCGGTTCAAAACCTTCCAATTTTTTGTAGACTTTACCCATATTTTTCATTTGTGCCAAATACAGCCTCAAACCTTTCATCTCGTTGCAGTAGAAGGACAGATGGACAGTGGCGGAGGCAGACAATATGAGTCAGGGGCACAATTCAAACTTACAAAAAATGTGTGAAAAATTCAAAGCATTCGATTTCATATTATAATTGTTCTTCACGCGTTCTCATACTTTGATAACGTTTTATAATTACATTGTTTTCAATATTGTCAAACACATCCTTCTCAATATGCAATCAAATTATCATTCAACCATTGATTTCTGATTCGATTGCGCAGACGATTTTTGACATAAGTCATCGCAGAAAGTGCTCTCTCAATTGTTTTCACAACCAATTTCTGTACAAGATCACTAAGACCCTGTAATTCTCCAAAATCTTCGTCAACGTGCATGTCAAGAATATATGTATCAAGTTGATCATCAAGTTCTGAGATATCTACTACGTCAAAATCTGCCAGATGAGACTCACATAATCGAATCACTTTGTTCTTTTCAAAAGTAGTAAATAAATTATTTGGAGACAAAAACGCGGCGCAAAGGAGTAAGTCATTATTTACTTCAGAAAATCGATCATTAAGCTCTTGAAGTTGCATATCAATGATGACATGAAATATTTCCACACGAAAGCGATGCAATTTTGTTAGCGTTTCACGTCGTGAACGACCTATAGTTATAAACATATCATCCATATTGGGCACATTAATCTTGTGTGCATCACTGAATGAACAAACTATTTCAATAAAAGAATCTCATCCATCATCCCTCATGGTTTGGAGCTGTACTTTACATAATTTCACTAATCTTATGGCATTGACAATATCTTGTTCTTTCATTTGTAACGCTTTCGACAATTCATTTGAAAATCCCAAGATTTTTTCGTGAGACGTAAATTAAATACAAATTCAAATTTTAATATCGACTTCAATAACATACATGCATCACCTCTTGTTCTGAAACTTGTAGTATCAGTAGCAATCATCTCAACAACATCAAGTGTGGTTGAAGACATGACAATCAAGTTAACTAAACATTGTAGTGAGAGCCCCAATGTGTATTATTGGAACGCTTAAGAGTAGTTTCTTAATTGAGACCCCGTTCGCTTGATATTTCACCAACGTTGGGTGCTTCAAGAATTTTGATTCTTTGTTTCTCTCGTATAAGATCACAAAGTTTAGCCGACCCTCCAACAATATTCATCAATCTGTGTACGAAAGAGAAGAAAGTTTCAACCTTCGAATGTTTTTATGCTACAACTACAAGAGTTAGTTGAAGTTGATAAGCAAAACAATGAATATAGTAATTTTCAAAATAAGTGTTTTGAGACCATTATACTCACCTCGCATATTACTAGCTCCATCATATCCTTAACCTCTCAAATTAGAATATACTTAAACTATGCATGGAGAATAATTGATCAATTCCCGCTTTAAGTAGACAGCTGTGGTACTCGAAACATGTGTGACATCAATAAAATGTTCCAATACATGTCCATTCTTCGCATAACGAATAACAACTGACATTTGCTCCTTTATTGAAATGTTTCGGGATTCATCAACAAGAATAAAAAATTAAGCCATCACCAACATCTTTGAAAATCACTTTAAGAATTTCAAAAGTAACAACACTCACAATATCTTTTTGAACTCAGGGTTATGTTAATTTGAGATTTTTCTGGCGCATTCCCCAAAGCAAAAACTTTAATCTCAGCACCATGATCACACAACCAATGCAATAGTTCAAGAAAATTCCCTTGATTGTTCGAATATTCAAATTCACCATATCCACAACAAGTTATCCATTGTCATAAAAGAAATCGAACATAATCAATAGATGTATTCAAATGTTTTCGATACTCATGTCAAGCTTGATGTTATTGCTTAAAGAGACAAGATTTAATGTTTTGTTCTTGATTTTTAATTGATTCATACTTGAGCCGAGCCTGATTATGTGTATTACTAGGAACCCCAACGCATTTTCTAATATTTTCTTTCTTTTTCCAATTTGAGAACCCGCCATTAACAGATGAACCGCTACTTGAACTGAAAAGACAACAATAGAAGCTAAATACAACATTTTTTACTACACTATATTCCAACCAACAAGGATGCCATTATACCATGAAATACAAAATAGTCTATCTTTGTTACCCATTCTTGTAGGTGGAAACTCATGATTGTGAAGTTGAGAGGGACCCCCTTGCA